GGAGTTGGCAGATTCCTCTGATCCCTCTGTGAGCAGGGACAGCACCCAGGGAACGGCTGGAGCTGTGTCAGGGCAGGCTCAGGGTGGATCTCAGGCAAAGGTTCTTCCCCCAGAGGCTGGTTGGGCACTGCCCAGGCTCCCCAGGGCAGTGGGCACAGCCCCAAGGCTGCCAGAGCTGCAGGAGGGTTTGGCTGATCCTCTGGGGCACAGGGGGGGACTCTTGGGGTTAGATATGAGGATATCTAACTGTGCAGGGCTGAGGGTTGGACTGGATGATCCTTGGGGGTCCCTTCCAGCTCAGCAGATCCTGTGACTCTGTGACACCCCAGCCATGGGGGCACTGAGCAGGAGGTGCTGAACCCCTGCCCCTCTCCCTGCAGCCTCCGCTCCTCGGACCACCCTCAGGTGAACAAGCTGATGCTGACGGAGGAGGGCGGGTCTGGGCCGGGCCCGGGGGAGGCGGCAGAGCCGGGGCCGCACCGCGCCTACGACAACGAGCAGGACGGAGTCTCCTACAACTACACCTTCTTCCACCTCTGCCTCCTCCTCGCCTCCCTTTACATCATGATGACCCTCACCAACTGGTACAGGTGGGCAGAGCTCCCGGGGCTGTTCCCCTGCCTCTATATCCCCTCCTCCTGGGGTCTGCCCCGCTCTCGGGCAGAGCTGTTTGCTGAGGTGCATCTGCGTGTGAGGCTGCTGAACGTGCTCCCTAATCATGTTTGGGAAGCATAGGGCTGTGCCAGGGCTCGCCAGCACCCTCTGCTGCAGCCTGGGATTCCCTCGGGAGCAGGGACCCGGCCCCTGGGTGCTGTGAGTGCAGCTGTGGGGTCACATCTCTGGGATAGCTGCAGCCACGGGGCTCCCCTGTGTTCCCTGCATGCCACCCATGGGTGCTCACAGTTCCTGTCCCTCTCTGTGGATACCACAGTGATGGTGCCACCCCCCTGTTTGCTGTTCCAGGCCGGATGAGAGCCTGCAGGTGCTGAGCAGCCCCTGGACCGCCGTGTGGGTGAAGATCTGCTCCAGCTGGGCTGGGCTCCTGCTCTACCTCTGGACTTTGGTGGCTCCACTGGTGCTGCCGGACCGGGACTTCAGCTGAGGTGGCCCCGGGCATCCTGTTGCCAGGTCAGAGCCGTGGTGGCCTTGTCCCTCAGGGCCAGGGACAGCCCCAGCTCTGCCTTAGCCCCAGTTCTGCATGTGGGAGCTGCTGTGCTGGGTTGTGCCTTCCTTGCAGGTCTTTTGTTTTCATTTGAAAGGGATGAAGTGCCAAGCAGAGAAATCAAGGGCTGAGGATGTTTTTGAAGCCCCCTTCATGCCCATGTTTGTCCAGTGCCTTTGGTGGTGCCTCCAAACCCTCTTCTCCCAGCAGAGACCAGTGCCTTGCCTCGGGAGGGTTTGATTCTCACCAGCTGTGTTGTCTCACTTGCTGTCCTGGGACCGTGGTGCCTTTTGGGGGGCACTGGGGACCAGGACCCAGGACCTGGCCACTGTTGTGTCCCCAGACTGCCTGGAGGAAAACAAATTGCTGAGATTTGTGGCTGGAGGCAGATATCCCTCTGCATCCCCCAGCCTCGGGGGTGGCCCCAGCTCCTCAGGGGCTCTCCTGCCTGGCTGTTCCCATGGGAGAACAACCCCCCTGGTCATTGCTAGAGGACAGGTTGGGTTTCCTGCAGACTGTGCTGGCCTGGCCCCAGCACCTCACCTTGTCAACAGTCTTGTTTGCAATAAACCTGGTGGATTTGTCCTTGGATCTTTCTTGGAGCGTGTGCTGAGTGTGTGGGAGGCAGAGGAAGTATTAAACAGCCCTAATGCTGGGGTGGGGGCACAGCTGGGGGCACAACTGGCTGCCAGGAGGTGCAGGTGGGGATGGCATCACTTTGGGGCATGAAAACTTGGAGCCCTGGACCCCATTGCCAGGCTGTGGTACCCTAAGAGCTGCTGCTGGAGGTGGGCCCGTGGCTGGCAGGGCAGGGGGTGGTGGTGAGCAAAGAGGGGGGTGCAAGGTGTGGTGCACAGGGTGGGTTGCACACAGCGTGGGGTGCAGAGCATGCCCAGGGGCACAGGGGTTCTTACTGTAGCAGGGGTTCCCTGCAATGGGATGCCATCCTGGTGCCCTCCAGCACATCCCCATGTCCTTCAGCCCATCCTCGTGCCCTGCAGCCCAGCCCGGGCTGTGAAGCCCATCCCCATGTCCTGCAGCCCATCCT